TGATTGACTTTTAAAGGTGTTCTGACAAAATTATAATTCTAGATTTTGAATATTAATAATCAATTTTCTTTCCTCTCATTAATTTGCCTTTTAAAGCCATTAAAATTATCTCATTGGCATATAGGAAATTTTTTATTTTATAAGGGGGAGAAAATGAGAGATAGAGGCAGTGGTGGAGGATTCATATGTTTAGCTCATTTCAAGGCCACCATCAAAAATGAGAGACATAGGTAGACTCATTTCTGCATTCTTCCCCTCTTCAATTCTCAAGCTTGAATGTTACAAACAATTGATCCGTCCTCGAGAATAATGCTAAATTTCCTTAAGTAATGCAGAATCAGTTCCCTAGGATCAGACTCTGAGATGGATATTAACAAAGAATAGGTTTATTAGGGAATGCTCTTGGAATCCAAAACTGTGGAAGAGAAGGAAGGAATCAAGACTGGATAGAGGGAGAAGTCAAGCCATTATGTGTCTTCAATGGAAGGCTCAGTCAGCATTTCAGGGCATTCTTATGATGCAAATTGTGATGAGAGGGTCAAACCTTTCTACTGTCTATCAGTCACTGGATGCTCCTCTTTTCTCCGGAAAGGGGATAGGACATTGAGAGTTGTGGCTTTCTTTAGCTGAGGCAATCCCTGAAGGAGGCAGACAGCTGAGAGCAATCTTCTGGCAGCACTCTCAAAAGCTGGGAAAATAAATCCTTTAATTTTGAAGGGGAATCTGGGCAGATTTAAGTTTAGTTTGATGATAGCTGAATTGCAGCTCCTGTTCTAGATGTTTCTGTAACCAAATGAAACAATATGGGCTCCAGAACTTTGTTTCCAAATATTGGTTTGGAATCAATATAAATATTGATTCCAATTTAGTACCTGCTTTCTAATCTACTGAATTGGAATCTCTTGGATGAAGTTCATAAATCTATATTTTTGCAAAGATCCCCAATGCTTATGCTATAGACAATCCATAGGCCTTCATTTTAGAATCACTTGTGGCTCCATAGGCAGTTGTAGCTCTGTAATTCTGGCAAATAGTATATTAGTAGAAGTATATGTACAACTTCTGGGTCTTGCCTTTAAAAGGAAGGCACATACATTCCCCTTCTCCCATTCCCCTTTTTTGCTGATTTGAATGAGCCTGAAATGCTAGGGTCTGGAGGGAACCATCATGAGCTACAGATAGAAAATGAAAGATGCATGTTGAGAATGTCAGAGAAACAAGATAGGAGATACTAGGTGAGTCATAGTTGTTCCGGATCACATACCCAGTCTTGTGCATGAGGGAGAAACTTCTGGGGTTTTTGCGTCACTTATTTTAGGTTTTCTGTAATCAGTTGAATTCCTAATAATACAGAGATAGTGAGCCATCACTTCCAAAGTGAAGGACATGCTGTTGTAAATTGTTCCCCTATACTGGGAGACAGACCCATTAGATTTTGGAAATATAAAACCTATATGGATGTCTTTTTTAAGTCCTTTTACTGGATGACCTAAGAGCTTCTAACTCTAGAGGGACTTTGACCAAAAAAACAGCTGTTTGGGTTATCAAGTTTTTGGTGAAAACTGCCTTGATTTTAACTATTACAACTTGTGCTGATCTAATGGTTCTAGAAGAATCTTTACAAGAAGAACAAAACTTTGGGAAGCCAATGACAGGTTTTAATATAATCATAGCAATTGCTTTGGGAGCAAGACCACATCAGTATCTGGAGCACCTATGCTATTTTCAACAAATACAAGCTTTTTACTGGTATCTAGCAATAACAGGTAACCATGACCAAAGCACCTCATCCTGGACTGGACATTTTCTTGTCTATATAGCCATGAAGTTAGGCATTCCCAGCAGCAGTCAGAAGTCATATATATAAGATGGGTGCCCCATGACCCATTCAGATCTCAAAGGCAAAAGTCAGATCCATGAAATGGTTTCTTAGTGCCTACAATATGATACCACTTATCTGGCTGTCACCTTTGTCTGAATTTATGCCTATTGCTTGGAGGGGAGGACTAGCTTATGACCAGTTGGCACAGGATGAAAACACTCAAGGCTGGATTACCAAATGACCCCAGTATCAGTGAAAAGTAAGCTCTGCGTGGTATTATAGTCTATCTCAAGCAATGCCGTGGATGACAACTGGAAAGGATATTTCTCATTGGCTATTGTGCTTAGTAGAAGGTTGGCTCAAAGTCAGGATTTACACTGATTTCAGGGAAGTAGCAGATAATTGATAGAAATAACCAAGGACTCAAAAGAAGCAAAATTGGAGGATGACACAAAGAAGATTTAGAGAAATCATTTGGGTCACCAGAATAGATCCAAGTCTGAACATAAGTAAGCATATATTTACCTGAGATTCCTTACCAGGATTTTCATGCAAGAATCAGGTAATAAACAGTATGTGTTAACTATGGTTATCACAGTTTATGGTTGTCAGTAAGTCTTCTTTCTCATCTTGGCCAGTAGTTGCTAAATGAGTGTTGGTTTGTAAATTGTCCCCTGTACACAGAGGGCAAGGAAAGACTGAAGAGGCAGACCACTGCAGATTGGTAGGTGGCAGGTTTTAATTAGCAAAAGAACTTACTTACAAGGCTTGTCTTGGGCACCACAAGACAAGTGGATCTCTGCACCCACCTTCCAGAATCTTAAAAGATTATATAGAGGCCTTAATTGAATTCAGTCACACATACCATTCAGATGGTCTCAGGAACACCTAACTATCTCAAGGCTATGTCCTTGGGGTAGCTGCTACTGAGGGGAAGGTAAGTAGAACACACATTCAAAGGACAGGGAAGGGGGTAAGGAGCCTCCAACTGCCTCAGCACATCCACAGATCAACTGGCCATCACGTACTTTTGATGACCTCCTTCAACAACAAGGTTCATGAATAAGGTAGCAATTGTGGCAGGAAAGAGGTGATCTATGGGCTCAAGAGCCTAAGTTTCTACCACTAAAGCCAGTATGAATACCACAATGTCAACAATAAAGTGATCTTTTTTGGCCTCATTGCCAGTCAGCCACCTGGTAACAAGTGGACAACTTCGATCCTTTTCGGTTGGGAAGAGATCAGTACTTCTTTGCTCCGATATAACAAATTGTTGATTTGAATTTTCTTTTTGTGTTTAATATGCTTCAGGAAGTACTGCTATCCATAGCTTATTGAATATTTTATTCACTACCATGAAATGATGCACAGCACTCTTTTCAACTGAAAAAAAAAATTGTTTCAAAATGAAAAAAAGGAAAGGCAATCGGTGCATACAGTATCAATGAAATTATCTTGCCTATTATTCATAGATGGTAAACCTTAAAGACTGGCCTATTGAGAACTCCTCTCTAACACCAGCTGAGGGATACTAACTTGTGAGGTTGACATGCTGATTGCACTATGTGACATATTAGATGAACTAGAAATCAAGATTTACATTCTCTCCCATTTGTTCAAAGTCCCTGCTAGCCATATTGGGTCTTTTGTGACTCTAGAACAGCCTTTCTAAGCAGAAAATCCATCTCTGTCATTATATTGTCTGGGATGATCAATTCTGACTACCAAAGGAGAATAGAGTTACTGTCATGCAGTAAAGGCTGAGATGTAGCTGTATAGTTGATTCTGTGTTTATCATTCCCTGAGGTGAAAGATATTGAACAATTCTTACAACCTCATCCATTTGGATTTTTAAGGGCTCAAATTTGCAATATTTTGCCAAATGACCAACTTGGATATAGACTGAGAGGAAGAAAAACCTGGAACCAGTGACAAGACATGGAGGAAAGCCGAAGGCCTTGGGACAAAAGTACCTGTAATATCCACCTGTATTTAGTTATTATTCACCTTTTGCTGGCAGTTACGAAGATCCTAGTTACCAAGAAACCTAGTTTCTTCACCCACCATTGGACATACAGTGTTTGATGATAGTTAAATGTACCAATAGTCCAAGTCATATAAAAAGGTGAGTAGTACAGAAGTGGATTATGATAAATTGGGTTTGGGAAGGGAATAAGAGTGCTAGTAACTATGCATGTTTTGCATATGTAAACAATGTTGTGCAAGACACATTTGGAAATATACGTATAAGAAGAAGGGTATGAGTGAGGCAGCAAAGTGTAGAATGTACTGAAGATGATAGTCATGATATTATTGAACCTCAACTTCTTCTAGCAAACTACCTCAATGATATGCAAAATACAAGTAAAGGAGTGGGTTGGGGGAGTGACATTAATTTAGTTTTGGTCTTGCTTAATTTGTGGTACCTACAGAATGTCCAGTTACAGATGTAAATTCAGAGTTCTATCAATGTAGCTCTATCAATGTAATTCAAAGAAGAGTTTGGGGCTGGAGATATAGATTGGAGATCCTCCATGTATAAACACATCTACCTATGTTAGTGAAATTGTCCAAGGAGCCTCAGTAAAATGAGAAGAGGAAGAGGATACAACTTTGGAGAACTGAGATTTAAAAGACTGGCAAAAGTGAAGGTGTCCACAGAATGTAGAAGTACTAATTTAAAATGATGTCACAGAAACAGCAAGGAAAATGTTTCAAGAAAGGAAGAGTGAAAATGATATCAGATCCTACAGAAAAAAATCATAAGAAGGCCATGGGTGTTCTCAGCAGAGGGAGTTGTCATAGAATGAAAGGGGCGATGAACAAAATTTACATTTTCATAAGTTTAGCTGTGAAGGGAAGGAACAAAACAGGAAAATGGCCTCATCCAGATGAAGAGTAGAAGGCGAGTACACTGGAGAGCCATGATATGACTCAGTTTCTCCTTGACTTCTAGAATTCTCATTGCTACCAAATAAATACATATGTTGCCTAATTGCTTGAAAAGTTGTATTTATTTTTCAGATCCAGTCAATAAAAGAACAAAATGACTCATAATGGCAACTCACATTTTGAGTGACATAAAATGTTTAGTTATTCTCATTATTTAAGTCATTTTTCTTCACTTACAAAATAAATACCTGGTCTGTTACAACTGGAAAGGTAATGCTATTTACTATTAACTGACTGTTGAGGTCACAGATTGTTGGCACATGTCTAAGCAGGAACACGTCGTGATGTGCCTGTATCTGTAAGGCATTGTACGGCCATCAGGACAGTCAAGAACAATTTCTCTGAACTCATAGTTTTCTTCTTGGCAGCAAAGGCATGAAGTTTTCAACTGAAAGTTATCATAATCATACCTAAAAAAAAAGAAAATTAGGTAATAAATATTTTCAGAATGTCTTCTGAAATAAATTGACATCAATGCTCAAATTCTAATTGTCTAAGTGATTTAGCAAGTCTTCCAACCAATTTATTCTTTCCCT